GCGCCGCCGAAGCGGAGCGCGTGGACGACGACGGACGCGAAGTCGCCGCCGCCGGGCCGCCGGAGCCAGAGCGTGAAGGGCCGCGGCGCGCGCGCGGTCTCGACGACGCGCCGGATCTCGCGCCGCGCGTGGCCCAGGTCGCCCGCGGACCGGAACTCGAGGTCGTCGAGCGCCGCGCCGCGCCGCACGGCCGCGGCGGACCGCGCGCCGCGCGACGCGAACGCGACGCGGCCCGCGCCGTCGAGGCCCAGCGCGAAGAGCGGCAGCGCCTCGAGGTCGCGCACGGGCAGCCCCAGGTAGCCCTGGAGCAGGGTCTCGCTCGCCTGGGCGTCGCCCGCGAACTCGCCGACGTCGACCTCGACGCCGGCCTCGTCCGCGTCCGCGGCGTCCGCGCCGGCGCCGGCGCCGTAGTCGACGAAGGTCGGCATGGCCGCGCGGCCCGTCGCCGCGCCGAGGAGCCAGCGCGGCACGGCGCCCGCGTCGGGCCCGCCGAGGTCCACGGCCCGCAGCGGGTTCCGCGGGCTCCGCGCGCGGCCCCGGCGCTCCGCGGCCTCGAACTGGAGGCGGCACTCCTCGAAGATGCGCCCCAGCGCCGCCACGAGGCGCGCGGCGAGCACGCGGTCGTCGCCCCGGTCGAAGACGCCCGCGAGGGGCGGCAGCAGGTGCTTCGTCGTCACGCGGGGCCCCACGCCGGGCGACGCGGGATCCTCGTGGCACCGGAAGCGCACGTTCCGCGGCCCGGGCCGCCAGCCCGCGCCGCCGCGGCCGTACTTGGGGCTGAGCGCGGCGCAGAGCTCGAGGCGGCTCCAGGCCCGCGCGAGGTAGCTGTGGAGCGTGCCCGGCAGCGCCCCCGGCGGCTCCGCGTCCTGGCCGTAGAGCCGCGCCCAGGCCGCCGGCGACCGCACGAGGGGCACGAAGCGCGAGCACAGATTCGCGTAGCAGCAGAGCGACGCCAGGGCCCGCCGCCGCTTCGCGCCCGGCTCCTGGGGCACGCACAGGTAGTCGAGCCAGATCCAGACCTCCGCGTGGCCCACGCCGACGTGGCGGTCGAGCGACTGGAGCCAGCGGAGCTTCGTATTGGCGTGGTTGTCCGGGTGGTCCGCGCCCTCCCACTCGTGGCTCACGAAGAAGGACGCGGCGCTGTGGGGGCTCCGCGACGTCGCCGTGAGCTCCTCGAGGAGGCCGAGGCGCTTCGCGCAGTCGTGGCTCACGAGGCGCCCGAGCGTCCGGAGCCGCGACAGCGACACGACGTAGCAGGGGTAGTGGGCGACGAGGGGGCTGATGCGCAGCTCCGCGGACCCGAAGAGCCGCGGCTCGACGCGCTCGTAGAGGCGGCCCGCGCCCGCCGCGACGGGGCTCGCGCAGACGCGGAGCGTCTTCGTCCGCAGCGCGCGCGCGGCCGCGCGCAGCCCCCCGCGCGGCGGCGCCGGCTCCGGCGCCGCGATCTCGAGGGCCTCGTAGGGCCGCCGCGCGAGCCAGGCCATGTCGCCGTCGACGTCCTTGGGCGGGGGCGTCGCGACGCGCGACGAGCCCGGCGGCGTCGGCTCGCCGCAGCTGCTCGGCGCCGTGGGCAGCCGCGCCGTCGAGCTCGGCGACGCCTCGAAGGAGCCCGCGGACCGCGGCGACGGGTCGTCGGCGAGCTCGACGATGCCCAGGCGCCCCTCGAGCGCCGCGAACGGCCGCGCGCGCGGCCGCCGCGGCGACGGCGCGCCGCGCGGCGACGACCCGCGCGACTCCGGCGCCGGCGCGCCGCCCCGGCGCTCCGCCAGGAGCCGGTCGATGATGTCGTTCTGCATCATGCGGTCGTAGTCGAGCTCGCACTCGCGGAAGGACGCCTCGAACGCGTCCGCCTCCACGCGCCGCTTCCGCTGCTCCTCGAGGTAGCGCGACAGCGACAGGCCCGCGAGCACGGCCAGGTTCGCCACGAGCGCCACGAAGCCGAGCAGGACCCGCGGCACGTCCAAGAACCGCGTCGAGCACAGGAACAGGATCAGGAAGGAGCACGCGACCTGCCACGCGCCCGCGACGCCGAGCGCGTTCGAGCCCGGGTCCGCGTACGGCGCGGCCGTCTCGATGAGCAACAGGAACGCGAGCGCGATGGCCAGGCCCGCGAAGCAGCGCGTCGCGTCGGACCCCGCGAAGACGACGCCGCCCGTGAGCAGCACGCGGCGGCCCATGTCGACGCACTCCCAGTAGTACGTCGGCGGCCGGTAGGACGCCCAGAGGAACGCGGACGCGGCGAGGTCCGCGTCGTCGGACCGCGCGCGGCTCAGCGCGTCGGCCTCGAGGGCGTCCGCCGCGTAGGCCGTCGGGTCCAGCGCCCGGCGCCGCCGCCGGAGGTAGACGAAGATGGACAGGGGCACGCCCACGGGCCAGAGCGCGACGACGACGGCCGCGAAGAGGCGGAAGAGGCCGTAGCGCCGGCCGCGGCAGGACACGCCGTAGTCCGCCTCGAGGACCCGGATGCCCCCGTCGAAGTCGCGGCAGGGGAAGGTCCGGAACGCGGGCGTCGACACCGTGGGCAGCGTCGCGAACGTCACGAGGAGCACGAGCGACGCGAGGCGCCGCCGCTGGTCGCCGCCCAGGGGCAGCACGCGGCCCGCGAGCAACAGGAGCGCCAGCCCGAACGACGGCGCCACGGCCGCGAGGACCATGCGGTCCAGCGCGTCGAAGTCGAGCGTGCACGCGAACGACGTCATCGCGGCGACGTCGAGCTCGACGACGGACAGCACCGCGTTCGAGTACGCAAAGGGCGGCGGGTAGGCCGTGTTCGTCGCCCAGTCGCTCTGGCTCACGATCTGGTACGTCGCCCAGACGATCTTGAGCCACGACGTCGGCGCGGCCCAGTCGCCCGCGAAGCGCGGCGCGACGAGGCCCCTCACGCGCCTCCTCGCGGACTCGAGGCCCGTGGCCACGTAGGCGCGCCCCGCGAGGGCCGCGGCGACCACGAGAAAACCGACGAGGCACGCCGCCGCCGCCGTCGGCAGCGGGCCCGGGCACCGCGCGCAGTCGAGCGCGCCGACGGTCGTCCGCCAGGGCACGGCGTGGAAGCCGTCGCTGCACGCGTTGCAGAGGGGGCCGAGGTAGCCCTCGGCGCACGCGCCGCCGCCGACGCAGGACCGCCGCCGGAAGCAGGCCTCGACGCGGTCCGAGCGCTCGCCGCTGCGCCAGTAGCCCCGCGTGATCTCCAGCGTCCCGACCGTCGCGCCGACGGCGCAGCGCGCGCCCCGGGGGCAGTCGAGGCAGCCGCCGCCGGCCCAGTACTCGCCCGCCGTGCAGGGCTCGCAGTAGAGCGTGCCCCGGCGCGACGACTCCCGGTAGCCCTCGGGGCAGTCGCGCGACACGGCCAGGAGGAAGCTCGACGACTCCGTGATGTCGGATCCGAGCGCGGGCGCGGA